CATTTAAATTTCAGATAAACAAACACGTGTCTAGTATCTCACAAGCATTAAAGGAAAGAACTAAACACCAGACATACATACAGCTGACTGCCTTCCACCTCTGCTACCTGCCTTCAAGTTCTCTGACCATCAGACAGTTCCTATCCAGAACCAGGAAGCAGAAGTCAAATACACGGCCAGAGGCTTTCAACCCTACTCCACAGAGGCTCTTTCAGGAGCCAGACTCAGTTGTGAAGACCAAAACTGTCCAGTCTCTACACATACAATCCATCCACACATATGTGTGTTCTATGATACTTTTATTCATTTTAAATAAAATTCTGCTTAAGGAGTATCTATTTTAAGTTTCATACAATCCAAAGAACATTGGAAGAAAAAATCAGCTACCCATACTTCAATACAAGTGACTTTTCATTCTGCATTGAAATTTGTATCTTGCAAAAAAAAAAAAAAAAAAAAGGTGATGAAATTTCATGAGAATGCACATACGGCACTGTATAAACTGAAATATCATCTCCATTGGATGAGTGCAAAACTTCTCGGTCAGATTCCTGCCTTCTGCCCATCTAGTCTCTTTTCAACCCAGCTGCCTGAATGATCCTGTCACTTTCCTGCTCAGAATCCTCCAGGGGCTCCCAGCTCACCCTGGGCAAAAGTTAGTCTTTTCAATGGCCTCTGAGGTCCTGAGGGACTTGGCTCACTCTAGTTCCACTACCTACCCTTCCTTAATCACCATGGCTCTCGGGACCCTGACCGCTGCCCACAGCATCGTTGCCTGTCCTCTCCTCTCCCCCCAGGGCTCGTTCTGGAACCAGCTTCTCCACCTGCTGCTGTCTCTAGCCATACCACATAAAACCACAGCCCTGATCTTAGCACATTCTATCCCTCCTACATCTCTATCTATCTATATATCTATACACACATATATACAATATAAGTAGATGTAGGAGAGGTAGGATATATACACACACATATCTGTATAGATACACATAATATATGCTATGCATGTGTGTGTACTTAGCAGTACTGGGGCTTGAACTCAGGATTTTTCACTCAAGATTCATACTCTCCACTTGAGCCACACCTTCACTTCCAGCTTTTTGGTAGTTAACTGGAGATGAGTCTCACCAACTTTCCTGCCCAGACTGGCTTCAAACCACAATCCTCAGATCTCAGTCTCCTAGGTAGCTAGGATCACAGCTGTGAGCCACTGCTACCCGGCTCTAGTTACGTGTTTTCCATGCTTCCTACTAGAATGTAGGGGACAAGTCATGGCATTCTGCTTACCACAGCATCCTCAGCATGGAGAAGGGCACACAGTAGGCATTTAATAAAACCAATGAGTGAGTGGATAAATCGACTTAAGGTATAAATATTAACAAACTATCCTAGAATATATAATATTTACTGAAAGCTGAATGAATATGTTGTTTTTCCAAGGGGTCAATATTGAAAAACAACCCTTCCCCTAAAGCCCGTCCCTTGCTGTCTTCCTTACTAGGAAAGTATAAAGAGCTCGAGGGAGTTCTGCTAGAGTGGGTTTCCTGCTGCTGATATTAATATTCAAAAAATGCAAGGGCTAGGGGTATAGGTCAGTGACCATGTAGCCCTAAGTTCCATCCCTAGCACTGGCAACAGAGGAGATATTAGACAGAGAAAGAATGTGTGAGAGAGCAGGGCATGGTAGCATAAACCTGTAATCCCAGCACTGGGGAGGCTAAGGCAGGAGGTGAATTCCAAGCCAGTCTATGATACCTTCTCAAAAATAAGAATAAAAATAAAATCAAGATGTAACCTTTCTTCACTATGACTAGTATCTCTATTGTTATTTCATAAATGATGATTTATTATATTTTTTTTTTGTCGGTCATGTGGCCTGAACTCTGGGCCTGGGCGCTGTCCCTCAGCTCTTCAGCTCAAAGCTAGCGCTCTACCACTTGAGCCACTTCCAGCTTTTTCTGCTTACATGGTGCTGAGGAATCGAACCCAGGGCCTCATGCATGCAAGGCAAGCACTCTACCACTGAGCCACCTTCCCAGGCCTATTTTTTATTTTTTAAGGAAGTGGTAAGCTTTTTATTATTTATCAACTTTGCTTACAATATAACTTATCTGGCTCTATGTTCCTTTTTGTTCATTTCTTAACATTGTATCTTAAAACTATATTATTTTTTAAATTTTATTTTATTGTAAAGATGCTGTACAAAGGGGTTACAGTTACATGAGTAAGGTAATGAGTACATTTCTGGTTGGACATTGTTACCCCCTCCTTTTTATCCCACTATCCCTTTCCTCCCCCACCTCCAAAGTTGTAAAGATCATTTCCAACATGGTGTCTTGTGAGTATCATTGTTGCAATGGGTCATCCTGTGTCCTGTTTCAGCATTTTGTTATTCCCCTCCCCCCCAAATTAAATAAATGTATATACAAGATGCAGAGTACCAAAATCAAATACAGTGACATCAGGAAATATAACATAGGGGGAAGAATATACAAAAGAAACAAAAAAATCACACAATACATGAAAAAGAACAACAATGAAACCTCTTGTGTCTCTATCTTGGAGTTCATTTCACTTAGCATCATCTCATATGGTCATATGTACATAGCTTTTGAGCTTTTCTGCTCATCTGATAAGATTCTCCTAAATGGGGCTGGGAAGGTGGCTCAGTGGAAGAGTGCTTGCCTCCCAGGCATGAGGCCCTGGGTTCGATTCCTCAGCACCACGTAAGCAGAAAAAGCCAGAAGTGGTGCTGTGGCTCAAGTGCTAAAGCGCTAGCCTTGAGCTGAAGAGCTGAGGGACAGCGCCCAGGCCCAGAGTTCAAGCTCCACGACCAACAACAACAACAAAAAAATATTATCCCAGATGTATACTAGTTATTGCAAATAAGGGAAAACATGGGACCTATATTTGGGGGGGGGTCTGGCTTACTTCACTTAATATGATTTTTTTCTAAGTCTTTCCTAAATGATGATTTTTAAAATACATATTTACAGGCTGGCACCAGTGGCTCACACCTATAATCTTAGCTACACAGGAGGATGATATCTGAGGATCACAGTACGAAGACAGCATGGGTAAGAAAGTGCATGAGATTCTAATCTCCAATAAATTGCAAAGAAAAGAAAAGAAAATGCAATCCCATCTGTCCAACCTTTCTTTGATTTGTTGTGTTTCTGGGTCTCTATTCAGAAAATTTCAGCCTGTGCCAAGGATACCTAGGGTTTCTCCTATTCCTTCCTGTAATGTTTTCAGAGTGTCTGCTTTGACTTCGAGGTCTTTGATCCATTTGGAGTTGATTCTGGGTCAGGGTGATATATGGGGATCCAGCTTTAGTTTTCTACGGGTGTTTAACCAATTTTGCCAGCATCTTTTACTGAAGAGGCTGTCTTTCTTCCATTCTATTTTTTTTTTAGCTCCCTTATCAAAGATTAGGTGGCTAGAGGTCTGTAGGTTCATTTCTGGGTCTTCAGTTCTATTTCATTGGTCTTCAGATCTGTTCTTGTGCCAGTACCAAGCTGTTTTGATTACTGTAGCTTTGTAGTAGAGTTTGAAATTTGGTGTTGATATTCCTCCAGCACTGTTCTTTCTGCTAAGGATTGTTTTTGCTATTCGGGGTCTTTTGATGGTGGGAGTGTAAACTTGTTCAACCACTTTGGAAATCAGTATGGAGGTTCCTCAAAAGACTCCACATAGAGCTCCCCTATGACCCAGCAATCCCACTTTTGGGCATTTACCCAAATGATCACAAACAAGACCATACTAAAGCTACCAGCACAACTATGTTTATTGCAGCATTTTATTACCATAGCTAAGATATGAAACCAACCCAGATGCCCCTCAGTAGATGAATGGATCAAGAAAATGTGGTATATATACACAATGGAATTCTATGCCTCCATCAGAAAGAATGGCATTGCCCAATTTGTTAGGAAATAGAAAGACTTGGAAAAAATTATATTAAGTGAAGTAATCCAGGCCCAAAGAAACCTAGGTCCCATGGTTTCCCTTATTTAAAATAACTAGTATATATTTAGGACAAGCAGAAAAGGTCAAATGCTATGTACATATGACCACATACAATGATGTTAAGTGAAATGAACCCCAAGATAGGAACACAACTTGTTTTTTCCTTCTACTGTTTTTAATGTATCTAAAATGTACTACGTGATTTTTTTGTTTCTCTTGTATGTTCTTTCCCCACAGTATAACCCCTGTTTTTACTGTATTTGACATGGGTGCCCTGCATCTGGTATATACATTTTTCTAATTTGGGAAGGGGAAGGGAAATAACAAAATGCTGAAACAAGGATACAGGTTGACCCATTGTAACAATGAGATGCACAAGACACTATATAAAAAATGAACTTTACAACTTGGAGGTGGAGGGGGTAGTAGGGGAGGGAAGGGTTGGTAGGGGAAAAACAAAGGAGAAAGTAACAATGCTGGATAAGAAATGTACCTTACTCGTGTAACTGTAACCCCTCTGTACACTATTTTTACAATAAAAAAAAAAAACATTAAAAAAAGAAAAGAAAAGAAAGCCAGAAGTAGAGCTGTGGCTCAAGTGGTAGATTACCAGTCTTGAGCAAAAAAACCTCAGGGTCAGCAACCAGGCCCTAAGTTCAAGCCCCAGGACCAGCACGCACGCACGCGCGCACACACACACACACACACACACACACACACACACACACACACACACACACACACACACACACACACACACACACACACACACACACACACACACACACACACACACACACACCTGAAATAACATCCTCTTAAAATACATCCTAGCTCCTCACCTTCAGGTTAACAAATCAAGAAATTCTAGAATAAAGAAGCATTCCTGTGACGCCTCACACAACAGGCACCCAGCAAATGTGCTGCTTTGGCAAGGTTTGCACCTGTCCACGCTTTTCACCAAAGTCCAAACAAATGACCTTTACACGCAACACGCGCCACAACCCAGAACCACACCCAATTGTCCTGACCTGTCCACCGCATCCCTGATGAGCTGCTGCAGGTCCACCTCCTGCTTCCGCAGGGTTCCGAAGGAAGACTGGCTCTCCACCAGGCTTTTGCCGCCCACATTCAGCTTCACTTTCCCCAGAACCGTCTCGATGGCTCCACTCACGTGGTTTTCAAACTTGCCCTCATATTTCACAAAGTCCGACTCCACAACCACTGGGAAGGATGGAGAAGAGGAAGTGGTGAGCTGGGTGTCAGCCTGCCTGGCTTCTGGACCCACCCACCCACTCCCACAACCCAAGAGGAAGCCCCCAGCCCCTGCTGCCTGAGCCAAAGAAAACCGAAACAACACCAAGGGCTCCTACCTGTAATCCTAACAACTCAGGAGGCTGAGATCTGAGGACCAAGGTACAAGGCTAATCTCTGTAGCAAAGTCTTGAGACTCTTATCTCCAATTAACCACCAAAAACCCAGAAGTGGCACTGTGGCTCAAGTGGTAGAGCACCAGTCTCATTGAGCAAAAATGCTAAATAACAGGCTCAAAGTGCAAACCCCAGTACCAGCACGAAAGAAAGAAAGAAAGCGAAAGAAAGAAAGGAAGGAAGGAAGGAGGAAGAAAAGAAAGAAAGGAAGGAAGAAAAGAGAGAAAGAGAGAAAGGGAGAAAGAGAAAGAAAGAAAGGAAGAAAGAAGGAGCTGGGAAGGTGGCTCAGTGGTAGAGCACTTGCCTTGCATGCATGAGGCCCTGGGTTCCATTCCCCAGCACCACATAAGCAAAAAGAAAAAAGCCGGAAGTGGCGCTGTGGCTCAAGTGGTAGAGCACTAGCCTTGAGCTGAAGAGCTGAGGGACAGCGCCCAGGCCCAGAGTTCAGGCCCCACGACCCGACCCAAAAAAAAAAAAAGGAAGAAGGAAAGACAGACAAAGGCACAATGCCTATGTGCCTCTAATCATATAAAACAATATTTACCCAAGTGAATTCCGGGAAATGAAAACAATAGTTTATTGTTTTTCTTTTTGTCTTGTTTTTTCATTTATCTGTCTTTGGGAGGATGGGTGGGGGTCACAGAAATGGAGAGACAGCGTGAACAAAGGTAGCAGTGGTACTCACTGGACACTATGTTGAAAATGAATTCTCTACCTTGTAGGTAGGGAAGGGAGAGGAGGGAAAAACTGGGAAAGAGTGAGAGAAGAGGTAACACTGTCCAAAAAGAAATATACTCTTTACCTGATTTATGTGATTTTAACGGCTCTGTACATGACCTTTACAATAAGAAAATATTTTTTTAGGGAGCAGATGGATTCTGATTGCTCTAACTCATCAGAGAACTCTGGGTGCTTTCTGGTTTATTGTTTTACAATTCCAATAAATAGAGAAGACAGCATTAAAAGCATTTGTACAGTTTAGCAAAACATACCCCAGACAGGGGTCTTAGCGGTTCAGCTTCCTGACTGTCCTTGGCCATTTTGCCCACCAGTCTTAAAGATCCATCCCTTGGGCCAAGCTACCAACTCCACTCAAGTAATTCCCCTCTCCTATTCACATTCTTCTATCTGAATGCTAGTCAATCATTCAATCCTTATTAAGTAATTCCTTATCTGCCTTCCTGATAAAGTCAGCAGACATGCCCTAACCCCTCAGTCATCACCGGAGAACATACAACCTTCACCCCCTCCCCTTCTTCCTGGCTCCACCACACTAAGGAATAACACTTAACATCCCAGCTTGACTCAAGTCTGCTGCAAACTATCTACCCTGCACGGCCCTCCAACTGACCTCCAGGGCCACATCCAGGTGATTGCTATTAGATTGCCTGCAGGCTCTGCCCTTTGTGTCTGAATCCTCAAGATGAATATCAGATGACCTCATATTTGAACTGCCAACCTTAGGACTCCAGGTTTTTACTATTCTTTTTATTTGTTTTGGTTTCTTTCCACTAGGGATTGAGCCCAGGTTTTATAAACGCAAGCAGTTTACATCTGAGCCACTTCCTCAGTCCTGGCAGACCTTAGATAACATCTCCCTGAACTGAGATTTTCGTGTGTCATTCTGAGATAATTAATGGTAACTACCTGATGGATTCTGGTTACCAGCTGATATTATACACAAAGAGTGAAATTCACAGTCTGAAAGACAAGTGGGTTTGTGTCAAACCAGCATCCTTTCTGATAAACAGAGCAGATCCAGATTCTCCCAAAGGCTACTGCAATCACAGACATTCTCACTTCAGGACACAATTCTGGTCTCAGGCCTGCCATTGCTGTTTTGGAACTATTTCCAAAACTTGTCTTGCAGCAGATAGGGACAATCAAGTCTTCATATCAGCCAAGTGTCAGTGGCTCACTCCTGTAATCCTAGCTACTCAGGAGGCTGAGATCTGGGATGATGGTTTTCCAAGCCAAGCCAACCTGGGCAGTAAGGTCTATGAAACTATATCCGCACTTAACCAGCAAAAGGCCAGCAGTGGAACTGTGGGTCAATTGATAGAGCATCATCCTTGAGCAAAAAAAACCTAAGGGACAGAGCCCAGGCTGTGAGTTAAAAGCACCAGAACAAAATAAAAAAAGACTGTGTACACTCAAACGCCACCCTAGACACACTTCCACGAAAGATGTCATTTGCGTACACTTTGGCATCAAGCCATCAATTGCTGCTGATGGAAGAGATGTCATGAAGGAACCAACAGGCAGTTATCATCAATGGAATGCCACCAACCAACCTCTATTCCTTCTCTATCCCTTGGGCAACACATGCCAGTGTTGTTCTAAGTGGCAAAAAGGAACCAAAAATGACCATCTTGTATCTGCTCAACAGACAAAGTAGTGACATTTCTCATTGCCACTCTGGCACTAGCAGGACACAGAATCCAGGATGAGCTCCGGCCCCTGATCCTGACCGTAGTCAGGGATTTTCTAGCCACACTGACTGCCAGTGTCCTCACCAACGCAGCCGAGTCTCCTTACACCCTCCTGATCACTATGACACATAATCAGCCCCAACATTAAACCAAATTTTGGGTATGGCACCCAACCCTCTCCCCATCTACAGTGAGTATGACTGATTATGTTTATAACAACACTGAAAAACTATATAAATTCATTAAGCTACGACTGTGCAATGTCAGGACTGCAGAATTCTTGCGTCGTGGGAAAGGATATTCTTAAGATATCACAGAAAGAAAAAAAAAGAGAGATTCCCCTCAATTCTAGACAACACATATCTAGAAAAACCACCTTCTATTCTGGGTCTGATAACAGAATACATACAAAGGGACATACCTGGGCTCAGTGATTGGTCTTCTGTGAGTACATCTCCCAGGGTGACAGATAGAAACTGGTACTTGGGTCTCTGCCAGCACCAGTATCTCCTCTTTTTAGTCACCAGGCTTAGAAGTTGTAATTTATCAGAATCATTCAAGTTTGATACTGAAATCAGGTTACCGTCATCATCAACTTCTTTAAGAAAATTTCTTGTTGCTTTGGCAAACATTTTGAAGACCCCAAACTATCTAGAAAAAAAGAAAAATAAGATTACCCTAAAGACAAATACAAAGTTCCATTATTTTGTATCTTTTTTCTAGAGCTATCATACTCCTTAGTCCCAACAGTTCACATGAAAAAGATCTGCTTTCTAGTGAACGCTAATGAATGTAGGTAAGGATAAAGAATTCTAATATGGAAAGAGAATATACTAGTCAGGATAGGCTAGATTATATTCCAGAAACAACAACCCCCAAATCTCAGTGACTAATAACAAAAAAGTTTTATTTGTTCCTATCCAGGAAGACAAGACAGCTTTGTTTATTGTAATTATTAAGGATCCAGACCAAAGCACAAGCAACTCTTTTGAACCTTGTCAGTCTAGAGGCAAATAAATGGTGAAAGTACCTGTAACACTTATGACCCAAACTAAAATGTTTATTTTTTTAAAAAAATTGCAAAAGCCAAACTTAAAATACTCCAGTAGAGGGCTGGGAAGGTGGCTCAGTGGTAGAGTGCTTGCCTCGCATATATGAGGCTCTGGGTTCAATTCCTCAGCACCACATAAGCAGAAAATATTGGAAGTGGCACTGTGGCTTAAGTGGTAGAGTGCTAGCCTTGAGGTGAAGAGCTGAGGGACAGCACCCAACCCCAGAGTTCAAGCCCCACAATGGACAAAAAAAAAAAAAAACTCCAGTAGAAACATGGATAAGAGTTATAAAGATCTATACTCATTATCTTGCCCATGTAAATGTAACCCCTCTGTACAGTATTTTCACAATAAAAAGAGTTATAAAGATCTATAATTCACAAATTGAACATAGCCAGATAAATTCATACATACACACACCTTCCACATTCACAAATAGAATAAGGAAAACCATTACACAAAAAAGCAAATTAAAAAAATAATTAAACCTGCCAGGTGTCAGTGGCTCACTCCTTGTTACCTCAGCTACTCAGGAGGCTGAGATCTGAGAGGATCGTGGTTCAAAGCCAGCCCTGGTAGGAAAGTCCATGAGACTCTTACTTCCAGTTAACCACCAAAACAGCTGAAAGAAGAGCTGTGGGTCAAGTGGCCGAGTGCTTGCCTTGAGCAAAAGAAGCTCAGGGACAGCACCTAGAGCATAAGTTCAAGCCCCAGGTCAAGCACCAAAAAATAAAAATTAAACCCAGATGAATCTTGCATTTTAGCTGTTCAGTTCAGTTTCTTCAACATGAATCTTTTCTTCAGTATCAAAAACCACTTGCCTTACCTAACTCTACAGTACTTTTTCTTATATTACTATAAAGTAGCTTCCTGACCCTGGAGCTATATATTCCCAGAAAGAATAAGTCTCCCCCCCCTTTTTGGCAGTACCAGGGTTTGAACTCAGGGCTCAAACTTGATAGGCAGAAACTCTTCTTCCTATTCCTTCTTTACTGCCCCCCTTTTTTGAGACAGTCTTGCTTTTTTTTTTTTTTTTCTTTTTTTTGAGACAGGATTGGGCTTTATCGTTCAAGATCCTCTTGCCTCAACCTCAACATCAAACACACCTCACAAAGATCAAGGACCACCCTCCCCTACTGTGTGTCAGGCACTGGGCTGAGTGCACATTTTGTACAGGTTTCCTCACATAATCTTTCCAGCTCTGGGAGGCACACATTGTCCACATGTTACAGATGTGGCCTTCGAAGACATTAGGAATGTGGCTGGGATCAGGAAAGAAGAGAAGCAGGAGCCAGGCTATCATCCCAGCCTTGGTTAGGAGCAGTCAGGAGCAGGCCTGCCATTCCTCTGCTGAATACAAAGTGACGCTGGCCATCAACATGAAACAAACCACAGACCAAACACAGACATTATCCAAACCACAAAAATGACCAACAGCCAACTCCTTCCAGTCGGCAGTGACCCACTGCCGCTTCTTGACCACCCACAGCTGCGGCTTCATTGTGACCTTCTCTCCTTTATGCAAGATGGATGAAGACACACAATCATAGAATCTCTTCCTCTAACATCATTCAAACCAGAGCAATGCCTGCTCCCTTTAGCCCTCCCCCCCAATCACCTGGGAACCTCTCCTGGAAGGAGCAACAATGCCAACTTGTGCCCTTCCAGGTAAAACTGGAAGGCCTTGAACTTTACAAGAATGGATCCTCCCCGCAAGATTCTTCTGGAGGTTCTGATTCCGGAGTCGGACTGCCCTACTCTGCTAATCTCCAGTCTACTTTTTCTTTCGAAATTTGAACATGTGATTCATTGTGTAAGATAAGAAACGTGTGGTTGAAAGAACATTACCCAGTTATGGTGGAAACAAGTCATTGCCATAAAAACATCACTTGTATGCTCCCAGCAGAAATGCACAAGTGTTATACACGTGTGCCGGTGTCATTCCTAACAAGTTAACACAGTTTAAAGTCTTTTTAGTTTCCTAAATCACAAAGTGAAATTCAGTCTATTAACACAGAGGTGCCATCCTTTTATATTTTCTGATAGCTGCAGCCCAGAACCTAGTTTTTTTTTTTAAGGCTAGCACTCTACCACTTGGGCCAAAAGCTCCACTTCCAGCTGTGTGTGTGTGTGTGTGTGTGTGTGTGTGTGAGAGAGAGAGAGAGAGAGAGAGAGAGAGAGGAATTGGAGATCGTCTTACAGACTCTCTTGCTGGAACTGGCTTAAGAACCACAGTTCTCAGATCTCAGCCTCCTGAGTAGCTAAGATTACAGGTGTGAGCCACTGGCGCCCAGCCTGAACCTTAATGAGAACACAACTTCAAGATACTCTGCCATCTCTTAAAGTAAAAACTACATCTCGAAAGGTGTGGTTCCAGCAGCCAGCACCAGCCTTGAGAGGGAAAAGCCACAGGAAGGCGAGAGGCATGGAGTTCAAGCCCGCCACCCCTCCCCGCACACACACGCACACACGTGCGCACACGCGCACACACGCACACACCAAATAAAGAATGGTCACACACACATCAGCTTGAGCAGAGAGGCACCAGAGGCTTCTGGGAAATCAAGCAGCCACAGGAGGCCTGGGCCGCTTGAGAACAGGGGGCCTCGGACCCCCGACGGTTAAATAAACACGGATGGGAGAAAACCCCACCTCGACATCTTCCCGTTGAGCCCCGCAGGCAGCCCCGCAGGCCGGCCTCGGCAGCCCGGCCTCCGCTCGCGGTCCCGGCCGTGGCTCAGCCGCGTCCACCCGCCCGACGCCGCGGCCTCCGGAGCGCACGCGGGCCTGGGGTCCGGGCACCCCTCCCCTGCCCCGGCCGCTTCCTCCCCGGCGTCCCGCGGCCTCTCCCGGCCGACCCTGGGGGGGTCCGGTTCACCCCTCCGGTGAACGAATGAATGAATGAATGAATGGCGTTTCCCACGCCACAGCGAATGCTTCGGCAGCGCGGCCCCGAGGCCTTCTCCGCGCAGGTGAAGACGGGACGCCGCTCCCCCGAGCACGGGGTCGGGGAGGCCCGGGATGGGGGCCCGCTCCCTCGCCCAGCCCTCGGGGCACCCCGGGCCCGGCCTCCTCCCCCCGCGCGGCGGCCCCGGCCTCCTTCCCGAGGCGCACGGCCCCGCGCCCACCGCACCGAAGACAAAGAAGGAGCGAGCGGGGCCCGGGCGGCGCCAGGGTGGGGGGCGCGAGGCCCCGGCGCGCTGGCCCCACCGTGGAAGGCGGCGGGGTGAGGGTCGGGGTGGGAGCGCGCTGATGCGGGAGGGGCGGGGGTCCGGGAGAGCCGGCACCCCGCGGCTCGACGCGGGAGGGGAGGAGCCGGAGCGGAGCCCGCGCCCCCGCGCACTTACCCGCGCGCCGCCGCCGCCGCCGGGTCCCCACCGCCGCGCGCTCACGCACAGGGCAGCCGGAGGAGCCTGCGGGGCCGGGGCGATGGGCGCGCGCGGAGGGAGGGAGCGGCCGCAGGACCTTTGCTCGGTCGCCGCCTCCTGGCTTCGCGCGGAGGCGGGGCTGAGTGGCCCCTGGCGGCCGAGGAAGGAGGCGTGGACGGCGATCGTGGAGAGCCGGGTGGGACACTGGGGGCGCGATCGCCCCGGAGAGACCTCTGTGGGCTCCTTCCGGTGACACCCGGAGCCAGGGAGTAGTGCTAGGATGGGAGGAAAAGTCAGCAGCACGTCCTAAAGTCTAAAGACGCTTCTCCCCGCTCCCCCCCCCCACTTTGGGGTGTGAACTCGCACCGTGCCTTCACTGTCCACGCTGGCCTCGGGAGGCCACCGTGCCCCTGCCTGGGAACAGCTGGATTTACGTGCGACGTCGAAGCCTGGCCTCCTACAAGTATTAGGTGCTGGTAAACACCAGGTGAAACCGGAATTTAGCCGGTGCTCAAGGCTTGATTATTATCTTTTCAGTCAATATTTGTAGATCGCTTTTTTCTCATCCCATGGAAGAACCAAAAATAAAGTTTCTTCTCTCTCCATACTTTCAAGTAGTATAGAGATGCGTGGTGCCAGTGGTTCACACCTGTAATCCCAGCTAGCTACCAAGGAGGCTGAGATCCGAGGTAGGAGGTTTGAAGCCAGCCTGGGCAGAAAAGCCTGTGATACTCTTATCTCTCCTGGAAGAGGAGGTGTGGCTCAAGTGGTAGACTACACAGGAGCAAATAAAGCTAAGGGATAGCTCCCAGGCACTGAGTTCAAGTCCTAGTACCAGCCATGGAGTTTTGTGGTTGCTTTCAAACCTGGTGAGGAGAAAGCAACACCCACAAAGACACACGTGACAGTATGTGCTTTGTGGGGCATCTAAATTGCAGTCTCAATAAAGCCTTACCCCAAGGCCCAAAATTAAAGCTCCCACCCACAACAACCCTAGTTTCTTCCCTGCTTTACTGTTTCTCCTTTGCTCTTCCATCAGCTAGATGTTCTTCTTACTAATTTCATGCATTATCCTACTTGTAATGTTAGCTCACTAAAGACAACAACTTTTGTCTGCTTTGCTTACTACTACAAACTTAGAACTTACTGCATGGCACTTACTTTAAAAAAAACATTTAGGAATGAGCCCTCTTGTTTCTTCAACCAGATTGTGAGGCCTTACTCTTCTACAAGATCGGTGAAAATTAATGGATGTTGGATAAATAGGTAAACAAATGGTTGCTGGTTTTGCCAAAGTGATTCGGTATTTAAAGAAAAAGCAAGCTGGCGCCTGTGGCTCATGCCTGTAATCCTACCTACTCAGGAGGCTGAGATCTGAGGATTGAGGTTCAAAGCCAGCCTGGGCAGGAAAGTCTGTGAGACTCTTATCTCCAATAAACCACTAGAAAACCAGAAGGGGTGCTGTGGCTCAATCGGTAGAGCACTCATCTTGAGCTGAAGAGCACAGGGACAGCGTCCAAGCCCAGAGTTCAGTTGCCCATGACCTACAAGAAATTTTTTGAAAAAGTAGGCTGACTGCCCAATGGTTCACATTTGTAATCCTAGGTACTCAGGAGGCTGAGATCTGAAGACGGAAGTTCAAAGCCAACCTGGGACAGTCCATGAGACCCTTAATCCCCAATAAAACAGTAAAGAATTGGAAATGAAGTGGTAGAGTAGGAGAAGCTAAGGGACAACACCCAGGCCCAGAGTTCAAGTCCTAGTATTGGTGTGTGTGTGTGTGTGCATGCATGTGCGCGTGCATGTGCGTGTGTATACACACACACCATTCAGCTGGTAAAGATGACTTGCCTGGCCTCAAGGGTCTAAGGTGACGTGTAAATGTCCTCATCCATTCAGGCTGCTGTAACAAAATCCCACAGACCAGACCAGATAGCTTATAAACAACACAACTTTGCTCCTCACAGTTCTGGAAGTTAGAAGTCCCCAGTTAAGGCCCTGGCAGATTCAATACCTGGTTTCCCATTTCAAATACAGCAACTTTTGGCTGAGTCTTCATTGGGTAGAAGTCACCACTGTTTTCATGCAATCACCTCCCAAAGGCCCAGCTGGTGGGGGTGCAGCTGGAGGAAGGTTCTGCTCCCTCAAGAATGGGGCCGCTGGAGACTCCACCTTTTGTGTTCCAGACTGCCTAGGTTGCTCCAACATGGACCTCTTTGTGGGCTCCTGAGGATGGCCAGCATCAATTGACATCCTTTGGGCAGCAGTCTCATGGGCCCTCCTAACATCAAGGGGTACCAGAAAATGACCTTCCTGTTGTCTTTCCCTCCTTCCCTCCCTTCCTCACTCACTCCCTGTCTTCCTTTCTTCCTTCCTTGCTTCCCTCCCTTGCTCCCTCCTTCCTTCCTTCCTTGTACTGGGGATTGAACCTAGGGCCTCAAAATTGCTAGGTGAATGCTCTACTCAGGGAAAAGGGTCGCTAAAGGCTTCGGAGCATTAACAAATTGAGGTTTAAAGTGCTTTTAGAGGACAATAGATGTTGGCTAATTCAGATCTTTCCTACAGAATTCCAGCTAGGGAAAGCCCAAGGAGTTGAGCTGAGTTCGTCGAAATAACATGTTTTCAGATTCTATCAACATTGTATTAAAGAACTGAGTTTTGAGCTGGGTGCTACTCAGGAAGCTGAGATCTGAGGATCACAGTTCAAAGCCAGACTGGGCAGGTAAGTTCGTAAGACTCTCATCACCAATAAAAACTACTCTGAAAAGGCCAGAAGTGGCTCTGTGGCTCAAGTGGTAGAGTGCTAGCCTTGAGAAAAAGCATCTCAGGGACAACACCCATGCCCTGAGTTCAAGCCCCTGGACTAGTACCAAAAAACAAAAATCAAACCAAAAACAACCTTAGTTTGTCTTAATTCTACCTAATTAAAGGAGGCTGTCTTCCAAGAATGCAGAGAGAAACAAGCCAGAGTGGGGACAAGAGTTGTGTTTTCAACTGTAATCAATTATGATCAATCAAACTTCTCAGCTGAATTATAACTGGAGGGGGAGAGTGGAAATTGTATACACATTTGTCGTTTGGTAAGGTCCTTAAAAAGACTAATTGCAATGCAAAAAACAGTTTGGCAAGAAAAAGTTTTCTTGACTCTGGCTGATTGCTAGAAGTATTGAGCATGCCTGCAGGATACAAGAGAAAACAGCTCAGAAAGGTGAGCCCTTTCAACCTGGAAATCCTCAAAAGCCTAAAGGTTTTGTTTTGCTTCCAACCGTTGGTAGTGGCAGAACTGGCTGTTGGTATTTGGACTTCTAGTAGCATACTTTGACATCTCCC